GGCTTCCTATCCTCAAACCAGTAACTCATTGCTGAATCTTTTATGATTCAGCTAGATTTCTTGTAATCTCCAATAGGACCAGCATGTTTCTGTGATGATGACAGATAAGGATGGCAAAATTCACAAACCCTGGATGACAAGGGAAAGTGAAAATTTAGCCAAAAAATGGAAGGAAGAATATGAAAGTTTTACGAAACTGAAATCAGACAAAGTCCTTGAGGACTATAAAAGGAAGCAGGAAAGAACTTAAACAAGGAGCTAGGAGAGATGCAACATGCCATGAAATGTCCTTCGCAAGTAGGATGTATGTAAATTAGGAGCAAGAGGGTAGCTAGGGAAAGACAAAGGCAAGGAGGGAATATATACATGGAGCCAGAGTAAGTGGATAAGGTCTTTAATCAGTACTTCATACAGGTATTCAGCAAAGAGAAGGACATGAATGATGGTAAGATTAGGGAGGAGTATGTTAATATCCCAGTCCTTGCCAACATTAAGAAGGAGGTGGTGTTGGGTGTCTTGAAAAACATTAAGGTAGGTAAGTCCCCAGGGCCTGATGGGATCTGGATACTGAGAGAAGCAAGGGAGGAGATTGCTGGGGCCTTGACAGAGACCTTTGTATCCTCCTTTGCCACAGGCAAGGTCCCAGAAGACTGGAGAACAGTCAATGTTTTTTGTTTAAGAATTATAGGCCAGCGAGCTTTACATCAATGGTAGAGAAATCATTGAAGAAGGTTCTTAAGGACAAGTTTTACTTGCATTTGGAAAAGAATGGAATTATTATAGATAGTCTGCATGGCTTTGAGTGGGGGAGGTCATTCTCATAAATTTGTTTGAGATTTTGAGGTTGTGGCAAAGGGCAGTGAGTGTTGTCTACATGGACTTTATGAAAGCAGTTGACATGGTCCCTCATGGTAGGCTTATCCAGCAATTAAGTCACATGGAATACACGATGAGTTGGTAAATGTACAAAATTGGCTCAGTCATAAAAGTAAGAGGGTTGATGTGGAGGAATGTTTTGCTGACTGGAAGTCTGTGACCAGTGGTGCTCCATAAGGATCAGTGCTGGGATATTGACAGTTTGCAATTTATGGAAATGAATAGTGTGAAAATGTAGGTTGTCTGGTTATAAGTTTGCAGATGACACAAAAATTGATGGAGTTGTGGATGGCAAGAAAAACTGTCTGGAAAATTGGGTGGCTCAATGACAGATAGAGTTTAATCTAGACAAATGTGAGGAGATGCTTTTTGGGAGGTCAAATGCAAGAGGAAAGTATACAGTAAATGGCAGGACTACTGGAAGTATTGATAGGCAGAAGGATCATGGGATGGAAGTCCATAACTCACTGAAAGTGGCGACACAAGTGGATAAGGTGGTAAAGATGGCATACAGCATGCCTGCCTTCATCAGTTGAGACATTGAGTATAGAAGTTGGCAAGTCATGTTGCAGCTGTATAAGACTTTAGTTAGGCCACATATGGAGTATTGTGTGCAGTTCTGGTTGCCACACTATAGGAAGGATGTAGAGGCTTTTGAGAGGGTGCAAAAGACATTTACCAGGCATTTTCCTGATTAGAATGTATTAAGCTATAAGGAGAAGTGAACAAACTTGGATTGTTATCGCTAGAGCGCCAGAGGCTGATGAGTGATCTGATAGAAGTATATAAAATTATGAGAGGCATGGATAAAGTGGATAGTTGGAGTCTCTTTCCCAACATGGAAATGTCAAATACCAGGGGGCATTGGTTTCAGGTGAGAGGGGAAACGTATAGAACAAAGAATACAGAACAATACAGCGCAGGAACAGGCCCTCCAAGCCTGCGCCGAAACATTTTGCTCTTCCATACTAAAACCACCTTCGCCTCCAGGATCCATATCCCTCCGTTCCCTTCAAATCCATGTAATTGTCCAGATGCTTCTTGAAAGCTGCTAATGTATCTGCTTCCACCACCTCCTCTGGCAACGTGTTCCAGGCACTCATCACCCTTTGTGTGAAAAAGTTGCCTCGTACATCTCTTCTAAACTTCCCGCTTCATTTGAACCTGTGTCCCCTAGTAACTGACCCCTCCACCCTGGGAAAAAGCCTCATACTTTCCACTCTATCTATGCCATTCACAAACTTATAAACTTCTATCAGGTCACCCTCAATCTCCTGCATTCGAGTGAAAGCAAACCTAGTCTATCCAACCTTTCTCCATAGCTAAAATCCCCCATACCAGGCAACATCCTGGGAAGCCTTTTCTGAACCCTCTCCAAAGCATCCACATCCTTCTGGAAGTATGGTGACCAGAACCGTACGTAATATTCCAAGTGTGGCCTAACTAAAGTTCTATAAAGCTGCAGCATAACTTGTCTCTCCTTATACTCAATGCTCCTTCCAAAGAAGGTAAGCATGTCATTGGCCTCTTTTTACTACCTTATCTACCTGCGCTGCCACCTTCAGTGATCTGTGGACCTGCACACCCTGATCCCTCTGCATATCAATGTTCTGAAGGGTTCTGCCATTCACTGTATAATTTCCACCTTTATGTGACCTTCCAAAATGTATCACCTCACATTTGTCCCAAGTAAACTCCATCTGCCATTTTTCTTCCCATGCCTCCAACTAATCCATATCCTGTTGTATCCACCTCACTATCTGCAACTCCAGCAATCTTTGTATCGTCCACAAACTTAATAATTAGACCAGCTACATTTTCCTCCAAAACATTCATGTAGATCATGAACAACAGAGGTCCCAGCACTGATCCCCGTGAAACACCACTAGTCACAGCCCTCTATTCCAAAAAGCATCTTTCTACCGCTACCCTCTGTCTCCTATGACTAAGCCAGTTCTGTATCCATCTTGTCAGCTTACCCCTGATACCATGTGACTTTGCATTTTGTACTTGTCTGCCGTGAGGGACCTTGTCAAAGGCTTTACTGAGGTTCATGTAGACAACATCAGCTGCTTTTCCCTCATCCAATTTTCTTCCTCACCTCCTTAAAAATCTCAATCAAGTTAATGAGGCATGACCTCCCTGCACAAAACCATGCTGTTAATTGCAAATCAGTCGATTTGCTTCTAAATGTTTAAAGATCTTGTCTCTGAGAATTGTTTCCAATAATTTCCCTATCACCAACGTGAGAGTCAAAGGCCTATAATTTCCTGGATTACTCTGGTAGAGGATCTCTTTCAAGGAGATGTGTGAGGCAAGTTTTTTCCAGAGAGGGTGGTAGGTGCCTGGAATATGCTACCAGGGGAGATGGTAGAAGCAGATATGATAGCAACATCAAAGAGGCATTTTGACATGAGCAGGCAGGGAGTAGAGGGATATGGTCCATGTGCAGGCAGATGAGATTAATTTAGAATGGTATCATGGTCAGCACAGACATGGTGGGTTGAAGGGCCTTTACGCATGTTGTCCTGTTCTCTGTTCCACGTTCAATATTATTTCTCTCTGTGCCGGATGAACTTTCTTTTCATTTGGCATCAATATAGACCAGACTGACATAGTTATTGAATCTTTGTTTCTAGCTATAATTTGACCCATGTTTGTTACTTCTCTGAATGAGAACAACACAACAGTCCTCTCAGTTTGAAGCATGAATAGCATTTGCATCAAATGAGTATGATTAGGAGGATGCCAAGCAATCTTCTCTCACAACAACACCACACTACTAACTTCGAGGTAAATAATTAGAGAGTACAGAATTACCAAGCTGGCTAAAACAATAAGTAACTGCTTTATTTTTGAAAGATAATTCTGGTGTACACATGAAAGATTTCAGTAATATTACATGGTTTGAGGAATCAAAATGATTTCAGTTTGATTGTCAAGAAAATACTATGATGTAACACTGTAAATACATAGAATAGAATCATACAATTTTACAGGACAGAAGGAGGCCATTTAACACATCACGTCTATAATAGCTCCTGAAAGAGCTACCTAGCTAGTCGCACTCTCCAGCCCTGTGTCTGTAGCTCTCTAACTTCATCCCTTTCAAATATATATCCAGCTCTCTTTTGAAACCTCCTATGGAATCTGCCTCCACCACTCTCCCAGGCAATGCATTTCAAACACTAACAACTCACTGAAACTAAGTTTCTCCTCATCCCACTCCTTAGCTCACTTGCTGACAGTCTTGAAATTGTGACCCCTAGTTACCAGCATTCCAATGAATGGAAACAGAATATTCTTCTTTACCCTGTCAAAATTGTGTGTAATTTTGAACATCTCAACAAGGTCACCTCTTACTCTTCTCTGCTCCAAGGAGATCAAGCCTAATTTTTCTGATCTTTCCTTGTATACATCTACAAATTCGAACCAAGTAATTTCCTGTTTTGTTGTGGTCTGCAGGTGTGGAAGACAGTGAAGTGTTAAGGTATTCCATTGAAATAAACAAGATTGGAACAGAACCTGGTCACTGAACCTAAAACATTAACTCTGCTTTCTCTATACAGATGCTGCAAGACCTGCTGAGATTTTACAGCAAATCCTGTTTTTTTTGGAATAGGAAATTGCTCCATTCTTCAGTCCAAATGAGTTAGGCAACTGCATTCTCCTTATCTCACCAGACTTAAAAAGCAAGATGAAAATGCAGCCCAGACTAAAACAGTTTATATCAGTAATGAAAGCAGGAAGTGCTGGCAAGTCTCAGCAGATCAAGCAACATCAAAGGAGAGAAACAAAGTTAATTATTCAGGTTGATGGTCTTTCATCAGGTTCTATGCAAGATCATCATTATGATTATCAGCAACTGTGGCACTTGTTTCATGTCATTTTGTATTAACTGTGATGTACTTAACCTGGGAGAGTATGCCTCTTCTGTATTACTGCCATACTATTCCTTGTGAACTTTTCTTAAGAAAAAAACAAAAACTTACAAACAAATATTGTAAGTTTGTGCATTTGTCAAATCAAATCTTTCATTTGAAGAAGCAGTCCAGCGTCCTTCTGCATTATTACAATTCCATGATTTTATTCAAGCTATAAAAGTGACATCTCCCCTCATTTACCTTTTCCTTGATGGAAGTGTTGCTGTATCTGGTCTGGTCAACATGGACGGTAGTTCTGGGACTGGCCTCCTGCTTAATGACTTCACTGTTGAAACAGAAAAAGATTGACTCCGGTTCCTCTCAAGTGATGTTGCCACTTCTGTGTAGAGTTCATTAGAAACCATTTCTCCTGTAAAAGTTGCTAAAGACATCAAGGGAAGAGAGTGTGAGGATAAACTCGACAGAAGCTGCAAGTCCTTCAGGTTTTCAGCAGGCTTGGACATAGAAGGTAGAGGCTGAGTCCCAGACTGGTCAGAATCGAAGCAGGTTGTTGAATTTGGCATAAAACAGGCAGGAGGTTTGCCCCGATTACTTCGTGGTGGAACTGGGGGGATATTCTCCTCTGCCTTGGGAACCAGTTCCTCAGATGGAGTCCGTACTGTATTTTCATCATTTGATGAGTGTTCCCTCTCTATCAAATCAGGTTTATCTCCAGTTATTTCAGTAGGAGTAAAGACTTCCAGCGGCAGAACCTGATTAGGATTATGTCCTGATGCTGATCCTGTTGCTGCTTGATGTTTGGGTGTTGAAGAATGTTTGTTGAACAATGTCCGAGGCTTGGGAACAGGCTTTATCACTGATTCCTCTGGCTCAGCGTCAATAACATTTAAATTATCTTTCCCATCGCCATCAGCTCTTGACTTCTCCAACATTCGATCTCTATCACGATCAAGCTTGTCAGAGGTGGTATTCAAAAGCTCATCTGTTGAGGTCAGGCTTCGCTGTTGTACAAGTTTTAAGATGCGTTTCCGATGCCCAGTGGCTTTAATGCCAATCTGAAGAAGAGATTCATTGTTAAAATGGATAGAGTCTTTGGGTGTGTAAAACCCATTCTGGATGAAATTTTCTCTGTATTTTTCCAAGTGGATTGTAGCCAGCCAGTCTCCAATGTCACCCTCCTCTTCACTGAGCGATGCCATAGTAACTCTGTGTCTTCAACCTGCTCTCATTTGACAGAGAGTGAACCAGATCCATCAGCATAATCAAACACCAACATCTGAAAAAGAAATCAAGCATATTCAAAATAAGGTATTTCCAATCTGTGTGCATTCAAACAAAAAGTCTATAAAATCAAGTTTTGCACAAGGTTTGCTGTTCTTTCACCCTGTTAGAAACTATGACTCTATGAATTGTTTCCAAGCACTCTCCATGAATCTTTTGTAAGTTGGAGAATCACTAACAAGGAGACAAGAATTCGGATTATTACAGGAGGCATAAAGTCAGAAGTGAGAAGATTCTAATTCTGATGTAAAAGTTGTAAAATCTGGTTACGTGAACTAAGTCAATCAGATATTTAAGTAGAAAAAGCAAGATAAATAGTTGAAGAGAGAAAGTTTCAAAAAACCTTTAGCAGGAAATGAAAGTCAATATTGAACAGACCATAGGATACTTTACTTTCTTAAGGCACTAGACAAATACAGATTGTTGAATAGTGTTATAGGAACAGGAGTAGGCCATTCAACCCATCGAGCCTGATCAAACATTTCATGACCTGTTACCCATACTATTTCCATAACTCTTTACACCATTGATAATCAAAACTTTATCAACTATTCTAAACATATTCAAAAACGAGGCATCCACAGCCCTCTGCAGGTGAATTCCAAAGGTTCAATACCTTCTGAGTAAAACAAATTCTCTTCATCGTTTTCCTAAGTAGCATCCCATTTATTTTAAAATTGTCCCCGTAGTTCTAGACTCCACAACCAGGTGAAACCTCTTACCTGTATCTACCCTGTCTATTCCTTTAAGTGTTTGATAGGTTCAGTGTGATCACATCTCAAGCTTCAAAACTTTCAAGAATATAGACCCAGTTTGACCTATCATGAGTGAGATCATTAACTTTTACAAATGAAGTTCAAGCAACAGTTATTTCCTGAAATATCTTCACATTTTAAACGGAAAGTTTCATAGGCTAAGAATTAAACAGAGCAAGTACTACGAAATTAGAATTAAATCAATATTGCATAAATGTAGTACTCAATTTCAAATTCCTCAATAACCACTTCACAGAATCACAGCGGAATACTAACACTTAATGGTAGGGGAATGTTGGTGAACAAAGAGAGCTTGGAATGCAAGTTCATAGTTCCTTGAAAGTGGAACCGCAGGTAGACAGGAGAATGAAGAAGGCGTTTGGTGCGTTCGCCTTTATTGATCAACGCATTAAGTATAGGAGTTGAACTGTCTTGTTACGGCTGTACAAGACATTTGTTAGGCCACTTTTGGAACACCAAGTTCAATTCTCATTTCCCTGCTATAGGAAAAATGTGAAACTTGAAAGGGTTCAGGAAAGATTTACAAGCATGTTGCTGGTGTTGGAGCATTTAAGCCTTAGGAAGTGGCTGAATAGGCTGGGGATTTTTACCCTGGAGTGACGGAGGCTGAGAGGTGGCCTTTTAGAGATTTAGAAAATCATGAAGGACATGGATAGGGTGAATAGCCAAGGTCTTTTTCCCGGGATAGAGGAATCCAAAACTAGAGGACATAGGTGAGAGGGGAAAGATTTAAAAGGGACCTAAGCGGTAACTTTTCATGCAGCAGGTGGTGCATATATAGAATGAGATGCCAGTGGAGATGTTGCAGGTGGGTACAATTACAACACTTAAAAGGCATATGGATGGCTGTATGAATAGGAAGGGTTTAGAGGGATATGGGCCAAATGCTGGAAAATGAGACGAGATTAATTTAGGATATCTGTTCGACATGGATGAGTTGGACTGAAGAGTCTGTTTCCTTGCTGTACTTTTCTATGACTCTATGACTCACAGCATTGTCATGGTGCAAAAGGAGGCCATGCATCATGTCTACCTTGGCTCTCTGAGTACTCAGTGCGAATCTCTTGCTTTTCCCCGTAACCCTGCCCAATGTTTCTATTTAATTAATCATCACATGCCCTGTTGAATTGTTCTTGCTTCCACTACACAGGGAACACTATCTCCCTATTTACTCTATTCTTGCCCCCTCATGATTTTGACAACCTCTATCTAATCTCCTCTTAGCCTTCTCCTGTCCAAGGAAAACTATCCCAACTTCTCTAATCTTTTCTGTTAAAACGTCTCATCCTTGGAAACATTCTTGTAAACTTCTTCTGTAATCTTTCCAATGCATTCAAGTACTTCCAAAAGTGTGTCACTGTGAACTGTACACAATACTCCAGCTGATGTCCATCAATTGTCTTATACAAGTTTATCATAACCTCCCTGTTCTTACACTCTAGGCCCCTATTAATGAAGTCTTCTCTCTCTACTTGTTCAGTAATTTATGCCCATATACACTCAGGTCTTTCTCTTCCTGCACACCCTTTTGACAGGACCCTTTATTTCATATTCCCTAGTCTGAGGAAGGACATTGTTGCTATTGAGAGAGTCCAGTGAATGTTCACCAGACTGATTCCCAGGATGGCAGAACTGACGTATGAGGAAAGACTGGATCAACTGGGCTTGTACTCACTGGAATTTAGAAGAATGAAGCGGGGAATCTCATAAAAACATATACACTCCTGATGGACTGGACAGGCTAGATGCAGAAGGAATGTTCCCAATGTTGGGGTAAGTCCAGAACTAGGGGTCACAGTCTAAGAATAAAGGATAAGCCATTCAGGGCTGAAATGTGGAAGAATTTCTTCACTCAGAGAATTGTGAACCTGTGGAATTCTCTCCCACAGGAAGCTGTTGGGGCCAGTTCATTAGATATATTCAAGAGGGAGCTGGGCATGGCATTTGCAGCTAAAAGTATCAACAGTTATGGAGAGAAAGCAGGAGTGGGATACTGAAATTGCATGATTAGCCATGATCATATTGAATGGTGGTGCAGGCTTGAAAGGCCCAATGGCCTACTCCTGCACCTATTTTCTATGTTTCTGTGAGGTGGCCAGGGTTTCTTTTCAATAATTAAAATTGACAGCGGCAAGATTGGACATTGGACTACTGTAAATGAGTCTGCAGAAATAGTCACGGCGAACAAAGAAATAGCAAAGGAACTGAATAGGTACTTGACATCAGTTTTCACAGTGGAAGGCACCAGCAGCATACAATAATTTCAAGAGATTCAGGGGCAGAGGTTATCACTAAGGAGATGACGTTGGGGAAGTTTAAAGTTCTGAATGTGGATAGATTACCCAAACTGGTTGGACTACACCGCAGAGTTCTGAAGGAGATAGCTGAGAGATTGTAGAGGCATTAGTGGTGATCTTTCAGGATCACTGAAGTCAGGGAGGATCTCAGCGGAATGGGAAATGACTAATGTAACACCCCTGTTTAAGAAGGGAGAGAGGGAGAAGACAGGAAACTGTAGGCTGGTTTGTCTAACATCAGTAGTTGGTAGGATTTTAGAGTTGATCATGAAGGATGAAACTGCAGAGTATTTAGAAGTGCATGGTAAAGAAGGCTGAGTCAGCACAGCTTTGTTAAGGGCTGGTCATGAGTGACAAATCTGTTAGAATTCCTTGTGAAAGTAATCAGCAAGTTAGACAAGGATAGCCAGTGGACATGGATTTCCAGAAATCTTTTGACAAGTTGTTACACAGGAGGCTGCTAAATAAGATGAGTCCATGATGTTGGGGTCAAGTTATTGGCATGATAGAGGATTGGCTGACTGTCAGAAGGCAGAGAGTGGGGATAAATGGGTCTTTTTCACGATGACAGCCAATGACTACAGGATCTACAGGAGTCCTGTTGGGACCACAACTATCTGGGTTATTGATTAACAATCTGGACGAAGTAACTGAGAGCATTGTTGCTAAGTTTACAGATGACACAAGGATAGGTGGAGGGACAGGTAGTATTGAGGAAGTGGAGAGGTTTCAGAAGGACTTGGACAGGCTAGAAGAGTGGGCAAAGATGTGGCAGATGGAATACATGTGGGAAAATGAGGTTATACACTTTGGGAGGAAAGATAGGGACGTATATTATTTTCTAAATAGAAGAGGTCTTCAGAAACGTGATGCATAAGATACTTGGGAGTCCCAGTTGAGGATTCTCTTAAGGTTAAGATGTAGGTTCAGTCAGCAATTAAAGCAGCAAATACAATATTAGCATTCATTTCAAGAGGGCGAGAATACAAGAGCAGGAATGTTCTGCCGAGGCTGTATAAGGCTCTTGTTAGACAGCACTTGGAATATTGTGAGCAGTTTTGGGCTCCGTATCCAGGGAAGGATGTGCTGGCCTTAGATGTGATCCAGAGGACGTTTACAAAAATGATCCTGGGAATGAGAGCTTGACACATGAGGAGCAGTTGAGGACTTTGGTCTGTACTTGATGGAGTTTAGAAGGATGAGTACAGAACATTGAAAAGCATGGATACAGTGGACATGGATACGATATTTCCACAAATAGGAGAGATCAGGACCTGAGGGCATAGCCTCAGAGTGAAGTGATGACCCTTTAGAACTGCAAAGAGGAGGAATTTCTTCAGCCAGAGGGTGGTTAAACTGTGGAACTCAAAGCCATAGAGGGCTGTGGAGGCCAAGTCGTTGAGTTTATTTGAGACAGAGATAGGTAGATTCTTGATTAGTTATTTTAATTTAATTTAATTATTCATTCATGAGATATGGGCATCCCTGGCTAGACCAGCATTTATTGCCCATCCCTAGGGTGTACTTAATGACCACTTAATGACCCAGCCTCAACAGCCATCGACAGTAATGAATTTCACAGATTCACTACTCTCTGAGAGAAGAAATTTCTCCTCAGCTCTGTGTTAAATATGTAACCTTATTCTGAGATTATGCTCTCTGATTCTAGAGTCTCCCACAAGGGGAAACAACCTTTCTGCATCTACCATGTCAAGACTCCCAAGAATCCTGCATGTTCCAGCAAGATCACTTCTCATTCTTCTAAACTCCAAAAGAGTATGGGCCTAACCTACTCAACCTGTCCTTATAAGATAGTCCCTCCAAACATGGTATCAGTGGAGTGAACCTTCTCTGAATTATCTCCAATGCCTGTATAGAACATAGAACAGTACAGGCCCTTTGGACCACGATGTTGTGCTGAC